TACTGATAAATATAAATGATTGAGCATAGACAAGTTTTTTAAATACAATTTTAGTTTACAATATTTGTATAGGTTGAAATGGACTTCGAATCTATGAAGTACTGATTGAAAGCCTAGCACTTTAAACACTTTACTATTGTTCATTTTCTCATTATTTTTGTTGAAATAAAATGTTAACTTAAAAAACAAGAAATGAATGTTATGTTGTGATAAAAGAAGGAAATCAATCATACCAGTATTCTTTTGTGGTGCGCGCTACTTATAAGTAGTATATGACGCGAGTGTAAACGTAATGTCTGTCAGCAGAAGATGGGGGAACATCAAGAAAGGAAGAGTGGGAAACGCATGAATAGTGGTGAAATGTCAGACAATGGATTGACGATTTGCAAATTAACCGTTTACGATATGGTTTTCGTAATTTACTGATTAACTCTGTAATTTGAGATAAATACAATTCGGTTACCCTCACCTGTGTTCTCCTTCACTACACTTTTGATACTGTAAGTATTAACTTATTCTATCAGTGAACCAAAATATCTGATGGTCTTGGTGAATATATGATCGTTATAATTAAGTTCTAACTGAAAGTTGCATGTTACGCAATTTACCAGATGATGAATTAGTTCAGTCCAACAGAGAGTAGTAATATAGGTATTTACTTATACTTGTTAATAAATCCCATAGAATATGTTAGCTAAATCATGATTACAATATTATTGCGACTGCATAAAAAACATTCAGTGGTATAATCTAATAATTTGTTCCAGAGCATTTATTTTTTAATGAATCTATCAATCAATCTCATAAAAATTATCTCATCAACTTACTCTAATTTTCATATGGAATACAGCTTCATATTTTGGCATTAATGCACAATGTTCACGATTAGTTTTCATTGTTTCATTATCACTACTGTTCACATTATTGTTTCGGTGTAAGCCACCACCACCATTCGACTCTGCCGCTGTAATCGGTGTAATTTCTAAACCTAATTCCGGTAACGCTTTATAAATAGAAGCAATAAGTTTTCTATCAATAAATTCAAAACATGGTTTAATATCTTGTAAAAATAAACGATATATAAATTTTGATAATGGTTTATTCAATAATCTATTATGATTTGAATTGTTGTTGATCAATGAATTTGTTTTAATACAACTATTCGTTACTACTAGTGATGATGATGATGATGATGATGATGAATATTTATCAGCGAGGATTGATGCAATTTGTGAATCATTAGGATTGTTTATTGAATAGGTTGAAATATCTTTTACACTTTCAGTATTATTTGGTTTGGTTGAATTTTCTGATGTAATAACAATAGTTCTTATTATATTATGACCAGAATGATTAGATTCAATGTTTTTTTCATCTTTATTATTATTATCATTGGTTCGATTCTCATTCATATAATTCATAGAGTTGTGTACATCGAAACCATTGGATAAAGTAGAATGATTACTTCTGTCATTAGTATTATGATGATGATGATTAGTTATACTTTGATTAATATGATTATTATTGACTGTTTGATTAGGTCTATTGATTTCTTTTTGATAAAAGTCTTTTATCGTTTCATCTTTTCTGCTTTCTTCTTGATCATAGAATAAATGTTCATTCAATTCTGTAAATGCTATTTTAGGTAAATCTAATGGACAATCATTTTGTAACCATTCTAGAAATTCCTATGAAATAAAGAAAATATAACAGTTAACACGTCAATATAAACTGAACTAATAATAATAATAATTACGTATGCCTAACTACCGACTGCCTCGTTGAACTATGTTTTGCGATATAAGGATAGTTTGGAAGAAAGCTAAGGGCGGCCAAACGGAAACATGGCACAAATCCATGAAGTCACTAACAGATGGACTGAGTCATGTTGGTAGATTTAGACTACCTGGTTGGGGTTCGTGAGATGATAATAATCGATGGTTAGAGGCATTGAGTGACATACCTCAAAGCCGTTTGCAATGGCACAGGTGAATCCGCTCTTTGTGTTCCATGAAATTCTAACCTTCTGAATTCTTCATCACCTCTATCTTTCTCTTTCTAAATTTACCTCATTGAATTATACTTTTTGAATAACATCTTCCAACCCTAATCTCTTCGATTACTTCTAATACTTTAACTACCTCTACTACTATGGGATTTGAATTGGAAATTATATCTCTGTGCTAATGTGGTATAGCAATTAGGACTGTTGTACTTACGTGCAAAGTTCTGCGTTGCTGTTGATGATAATAATAATAATAATAATAATTATTATTATTCTTTATGATAATGACTATATCATCATAGGGAAAGATGATAGTTTTATTATCATTCAATTTTGAAAAAAATTGGATTTTGCCAGTACTGATGATAATTCCTAATTACACGTGATTAGAATCATTGCAATAAAAAAATTTAGAATTACACGAACTTAGTTGGTGGACTGCGTGACTCACTCAGTACTTCAACAAGTACTTCCAGTACGATGGAATACAAAACAGGTACCCAGAAAAAGCTTGATATTCAATGAGCCCAATTTTATTTAAGACGAAATACAGGGATTTATCATGAAACTAATTGCTTAGGAGTGTCAACAATCAAACATCAAAAGTCAATGGGGATATTTAAGCATATATCTTTACAAAAAACTAGTTCATTTTTAAAGAACTGGATTAATTTATGCCTCATAAGACAATTAACATACTGTTAAATCAATATAAAATTCGTTTTTTTAAACCGTAAATATAACTAGTCAACCTTACAATTTTAAATATCCTAGTATCGTGTAGCTTAACTGTACACCACCGACTGACCAAAACTTCTTAATTATTAAGCATAAGTTTAAATTTAAATTGATATACCGAAAATTTGTAAGTATTCGTGTTCGGTGTCCGAGATCCGAACGTCACATGAGCTAATACCTACGAACCAACTATTTGAAAGAGTAGGAGTTGGAGGGAACATCCAGTTGGTTGCCGAATATTAAGTACAAATACGCATCCATACATATATATTTATCACCCTCTTAAAAATAACTACATTTCTTGACCAATGATTAGCATTTGTCCTTTAGGATATTTCTTATGGTCATCAACTAACCTTCTCATTTGCCCACTACTGATTGGCTCACTAAGTCATTATGGCTTATGATTTACAGTCTGGTTAACAATCTGTAACAGAAGAACTGGCAACTATACTTATATGATTGAGAATGTGTAGAATGTAGGTAGTAAATACGTGCAAACACCATCTTATACATTTATTATTATTATTAGTACATAAGTTATTCAAGAGAAAAATATTTTAAATTAATTAAAAACAGGATTGTAATGCAAAAATATCAGGACAGATATGAAGTAAAAAAAAAATCTGTTAATTTTTAAACTCACTACTTTCCATTGCTACTAATAATTCTTCATTTACTAACCGTTAACAAAATATTCTACAGTGCCAAATAGTTTGCCAAAAAACCTAGATTCTTGATGGCCTTATAGCCTTAAGAAGCGTTATTTTTAATGAAGCCATATTTTGTAGGTCATTATTATGTAAGAAGTATTCAAAGTGAATTATTATTATTATCTAAGTTAGTATTGACTTTATTTAAACTATTTCATCGTAATTACCGCATAATTAATTTTTTTTACTAATAATAGCTCTTTCTGCTTGGTGAATAAAAGATGATACGATAAATTGGTTGACCAAAAAGAACGATCAGATTCGTTATTAATTTACTTTAATAATAATTAGTTACGGTTTTTCATTGTTAATAAGAAAAAGTGCCATATTTTGTAGAAAAATTGTCTGGTTATTGTGAATTAATGGATTGGTAGAATAACACTTCCCCGTTTGAACCATTTTATGTAGATCTCACTATGAACATCATAACTGTGATACAAGTCTCCATTAAGTAAGACGGAAATTAAGTATCACTGATTCGACTACAAACCGTTATCCGAAAAATATATTTTACAATCATTCTCTAACTTTAACGGAAAGAACTGAGCCTGCAGCCCTTCTCGGACTACTGCCGATCCCGAAACCGGATAAAGGAGGAGGGTTATGCATGGGGTTAGCGATTCCATCCTGTCGAAAATCAACTCACTAAAATACGCTCATCAGAAAACATTAATCAAAGTATTTACACTCTTCCCTGAGATTTGGAAGGTCTTAACTTGCAAGACATGATGTCTTATGGTAAAATCCGTACATTGCGACAGAGAGTCATCCACGTTTCTGTAAAAATGAAAAGATACAGCCTGGTGGTACTTCGAATCAGCAAAACATATTAGACGCAGATCGGACAACAAAGACCAGCTTCAGGTGATTTGCTGTAATACTCCGGCTATGAAAAAGAAAATCCCTTACATACTGAAGGAGTTGTACTGATGGTGTCCAAACAAGCACAAAATGCACTGATAGGATGGGAATCTCATGAACCCAGGATCATCAAAGAAAGAGAACATTACAGTGAACGTCATCGAATGCTATGCGCCTACCAACGATTAGAATGAAGACAGTAAAGATCAATTCTATCCTGTTGGGGATCACAGTATACAGTGGACAGTTGGGATGCACCCGAAATGTTTGAGCTTTTCATATGACTTAGCCACTCTATAAGACCCACAGCAAGAAATGCAGAAGACTACCCTCATAGTGGCAGCCTCTGCAGCATTAGCTCTCATCATACACAAGGGAAAGAGCAGGATCCTCCGAAATAACTTCCAACAAACACGAAAGCCAACATTTCAATACGAACACAAGAGAGTTCCACTGTATGTATCGGAACCTTGGAGAACTCCGAAAGTCATCGTTCAAAAGATTCAGGTGTTTATCAATGGTTGTCTACGCTAATTACTAAGGATCCGTTAGTCAGACACCATCAGCAACATCCTACTGTGTGAGATAACAAACCAGATTCCAACAGACGAAAAAATCAGGAAGAAGCGCTGGAAGTGGATAGGACACATATTGAGAAAAGTACCCGAGTGCGTCACTAGACAAGCACCTCACTTGGACTCCTCAAGGCCAGAGGAAGAGGGGAAGTCCAAAAAACACATTACACTGAAAATCGAAGGCGGACATGAGAGGGATGAACACCATTTAGACAGAACTAGAAAGAAATGTCCAGGCAGAGTAGGTTTGAGAATGCCGGTAGGCGACCTATTCTCCACTGAGGGTAACAGGCGTAGTAAGTAAGTAATCAAAGAAAACAAAATAACAGACTAAGTTTGAAATATTTTATCTAGTTTGACATGATAAGTTCAAACAAACTGAATATTTGATGGATTTATGTGGAAAAGATTTAGGATGTGGTTCGCAGTGAAATCCAGGAGGTATGTCTTCCGGATATACCTGCACCACATATTTAATTATTACTCCAGCGCTCCGGGGTAAGGTACGTCTAACTAACTAGTTAAAAATCGGACGAAATGCGCGTTCTGGATTCCGCTGTCAAAACCTCAAACTGTGATTATGATCATTATTCGTGTGTTACGACAGATAAACTATTAAAGTTGAAATTATTCATGTTACAAAAATTGGGGTTTCCCCACGTGGGTTTGAATCCCATCCCCGTCGTCAAATGATATACTCGTCAGTTGACATGTTTGAACAATTATGAGTTCACCATGGTCGGTAAACGAGAGCGAAGACATATGATCCAGTGACATGACGGGCTACTCTAATTCGAGCGTTCCAAGCCTACACCAACGGTATCAAAATGTCTTGATATGGCGAAAAAAGTGAATTCTAAAACCACCCAGAAAGTATGAGGTTTTGTACAGAAGAAGAAGAGCATAATACGTTACAGACAATGTATATTTATGCAGTTAGGTTGACCGTAAATACTAACCAATAAGAAGCAACACTTAAAAGTATGTGAACTTGATAGTTTAGGACAACCTTAAATATTGACCAATAGGAGTTGACCAATAAAATTTCTTTAAGATATTTGATGAATATCCTAACAGAATAAGTCCTAACCGCTTCAAATTACGAACAGAAGTTCGTTGTAATTCCACAAAAACAGTAAGAATACGTTAGCTCGATTTAGCTGAAGCAACTGGCATCAATCAACATGAACTTGATTTATGTTTATTATGGCCAACATTAAAGTCATTTTTATAATAGATTTAATTCTATCGCTTTCTCCCTCACTCCTTTCGAAAATATTTTTCTCAATGATACATTCGTGATCATATCTATTATTATTAGTAGTAGTAGTACAATGAAGACGCAGAAACTCCTATTTTAAAAATTGACATGCAATTTGTAACTGATTACCATACATCACCTTCAGGCGGATAATTTTTATTACCCTTGTTATTTTATAGATGACCTTTTTTTTAAAACACCATCAATAAAGTAGTTTTGTTTTGTTAGTAGTAATTTAATGGGATTTAACACTCAATCAATTGCTCACTGGATGTTAAATTTTTCATTTTCTACTTATAACATGAATCAATTCAACTTTCATATTTTATCAGTCGTAATACGATAATAATAATAATAATAATAATAATAAATTTGCATCGTTAACTGTACAACCAGATAATGAAGTTATGAAAGTCTATTGTTCACTCTTCGTACGCTTAGTTCGTCAATATTCTATGGACATTTTTTCTTAAATTAATGAAATAACAATTTATTTGAAATATTCAAAGTGAAGAAGAAACATTGAATCATAATTGAAAATGTTAAAATGATTCCAAAAGATAATTTTCCGACCAAACTGATAAGCAAGTGACTAAAGCTTTCAATGGATTACTGAACTATGTCAGTTACGATAGACAGAAGCGAATACTTTACTGTTCATTCAGCTTGTCGAAATAATCACATTTAATCTGTTCAATTGTACGCATCAAGTACAAATTAATCCTATTGTTTTGGTATAAAGCATAACATTGAACATGACACTTAAATAATGATCAGACTTATTCAATTCAAACTATAATGTTAGCTAAAATTCATAATCATTGAATAATTTTGTATTGCTTATTCTTATGGTATTCTAGTTACCCGTAGATAGATAGCTAGTTTATCAATAAATTAATTAAATCATGTGTGTTACAGCTGATTATAATTCTCGCTCTATAGAATTGAATTGATTATTATTATTATTTGAAGAAACTAACCCTAACCTATCACTTGTTAGCATAAATTGAATGTAGAAAATTTAATTTTGATCATTTTTTTGGTGAATTTTTACAGTTTCAAAACGAATAAACTATGTACAATTGTATTATATATGTAAAATGTAGTCTAGTTTTATGACATGAGGATGATGACATAAATATTATATATATTATTATTTATATTATGGTTTTATGACAGTATGTCAGTCAGTTATAATGTAGAACTTGGTACGTACGTTGATCAGTTCAAGTTGCCGTATCACATTAGCACAGTGATGCAATTGTCAATTCAGAGCCCATAATAGTAGAGATAGTAGAAGTATTAGCGATAATGAAGAAGATTAGGATTTGAGGATATTATTTAAAAAGTATAATTCAATGAGATACCTTTAGAAAGTAAAAAATAAAGGTAGTGAGAAATTCAGGGGATTAGAATTTCGCAGAATACAAAGAGTGGATGCATTTGCGCCATCGCAAACGATTTTGAGTCATTGCATTCAGGGTCTCTAACCATCGATTACTGTCATCTCGCGGACCTCAACCAGGTAGTCTATACTCACCAACATGACTCAATCTAGATGTCAGTGACGCCATGGATTTTAGCCATGTTTTAATCTGGCTACCCCTAGCTTTCGTCCAACCTACTCCTACAACACAAAACATAGCTCAACGAGGCAGTCGATGGTTTGGCTTATGTAACACATGTCCAAACCACCTCAACTGATGAAGGTTCGATACTTTGTCTGTTGATTTACCATCCCTACCTAGTACTCGTTTCCTGGCGACGGCCTATTCAATAGTCCCAAGATATACGAACAATGTGTCGAAGACATCTATAATCGAATACTAATAACCTACGAATATCCTCAACTTTTACTGGCTATTTTTCACCGCCATATAGTAGGATGGAGTGAACCGCTGCGCAGTACACTCGCCCTTTAGTTAGCAGACGAATATCTCCCCTATGCCGTGAGTGACGCAAGTTGGCAATCGAGCCTTTTGTATCCGTGCTGAGATTTCGTCAGACACCAGACTATTCGAAGTGATGAGACATCCGGGAGAAGTGACAGTATGTTATGGTTCTTGATCAAATATAAGAATTTTAATAAAGAAGAGATAACATGCTTGTTTAAAAACAGATATTTTAATTTTCTTAAACCTGATTCCCTGTTACATAATATAATTCATAGTATGTTTCCACGAGTATGATGAATGCAACTTACTGTTTAATTAGCCATCAATTATAATCTCTGGTCAATTAATTTTAATTACAAATAAATTGATTCTATTATTTATATTTTGATAGTAGGAACTGCCAGAGATTAATGTATTTATGCAATTATGTTTAAGATTGTGCATGAATTAAAAAATTCATCATAAAATCTATTTGATTTACCAATGCATTAACTACTTCTATTTCAAACAAATTCGTTTTGAATGTATTGAAATACTTTTTTCCAATATTTTTCAACAGCTACTTATCAAATCATTGTTTGCTTGTTATCATAAACGTTGTCACCCTGTTTCCAAAAACACCTATATAGTAGTAAGTTAACGTTGAAAAGAAAACATAGTCCAATACTTGATGTGATTAGTTCTGCAAAGAGTGTCAGTTTGTGTTGAAAAATTGTCTAAGAAATGTTTAATTGTTTCGAAATCATGAATGAGGCTATCTTTAACAAGTAATAATAATTTCACTGAGATGGTAAAGAAAATTTATAGCTCAGTTGGATGATGATAGTGGAGCTTCGTTCTGTGAGCTGCATAGTTTAGTTGTTGAGCATTTATTGTTCTTCTGAACAACATCATCACCATAAACATCAGGTAGAAGTGAAGTATTCCAGTTCCTCCATGTCTGATCAAAATCGAAGTCAACAGTACAAGTTACGAGTCATACGTGAACGAATTTGAAAACTTCACTTCTACCAAAAGTTTGTACTAATGATGTTGTTCAGAGGAACAATGAAAGCGCCACAATTAAAATATCCAGCTCTGAGAATGGGACTCCACCGTAGTTAAATTTACTTCTGTATTGTGTAAATTCATGATTAATTCTCTTAATTGATGATATTTACCGACTGCTGCTAAATATTGAGAACAAAATATTTATAAATAACTCTCAGACAATTAAAGATACTAAAATTAGTTTTATTATCATTTAGAATGTAAACAATAACAGAAATAAAAAAAAGTGGTTAATACCGTTTTGGTTTTACATTAAAACTTGTAAACAATTTAGGCATAGTAGACTATAAATATTCCAAACGTACAAATATCAATTCCTAGTATTAAATATTTAAATCCTATTTGTAGATTTAGATATTCTACTCATCGAAATCATAAATCAATCATTGTTAGACCACCATTAGCAACCTGGAAGCACTAGGCAGCCGTTTCGTCCTGGTGTGGGACTAATTAGCAGTGCGCATTCACGACTCCCGCACCTTGCAGCATTCAAACGCAGGACCTTAGGTTAATTACCAAAATTAGATACTGTTTAAATAAAAAAGACTACTAGATGTTTTAATAAAGTTTACTGACAAAGTTGGCAATGATAGCCACTCAAAACTCAAAAAGTAAACATCTGATATTTAGCATTATAATTTAGTGAATTTAAACTGATAAGTTATTAAAAAACACAAAAGTATTCTTTTGAACTAATAATAAATTAGTAAGAATCAAAAATTCACTATCAAAAGAGAAACTACAAAATTCAGTATCGGAAGTTCAATGTAATGACTATAATGGTACATATGTGAGTGAAGTATCAAAACATTTGTATGTGATAGTGAAGGAACACAAACTTTGTTTAAAACACATCCCGAGATTCTCAGAAGATATGAAAAACTAGTAAACAAGTCAGTGAAAGTATTACACTCAACAGAATCTGTTCATACAAAAAGGCTTTGCTTGATATAAGGAACAGCTAAAACCCTACACTATGACATAATCCAAGTATATTCATAAGAGAGATAGAGTACAAGTAGCTGTGCCATGACCATTGATGACTAAATAGATAAACTCGAACTCCTTTTTATCTGTCACTAATTATATGAACAATAACAATTGAGTTCACTTGCTCGAATCATTTGGTTTAACTGAATGTATGTTGAATAATTAGCTTGATTGGAAACAATAACACAAATTTTATATATACTCTGACATGTTGGGCAGATCTCGTTAAATTAAGTTATTTGATTTCATTCAAAATCTCTATTTCACTCAAATCAGATTCAATTACACAATTAAACATCTGTTATATTAACACACTTTTCACACAGCATTCATCATACACCACAGTATAATGAATACCACTTCTACATTGTTAACATAAAAGAATGATTTGTTTAGCTTTACAGATAATCGGTGAACCTTGTATTTATATTCAATAATTTTGAAAATACTTTGGATCAGATTGCTGAATGGAACGTTCAATTTACTTAATAATTTCAATCATTGAGACTTAAAAATATAAAATTTTCCTCTTTAATATTTTACATTAACTTGACAGTCAACGACTAAGAAACTTTTTGTTCAAATTTAGACGAAACTTTTCAACCGGATTTCCTACAACTACTTACAAACTATGTTGATAAAATATGTTATCGAAAACTTCATCAATTCAAATTCGCTTGCTTTTGAATTATTTTTCACAGTCTTAAATTATTGCATTAGATAAACAATAGTCTCAGTTTTGAATGCTAATTTATATTGTAGTCACAAGTTTATCCGTGAATAAAATAATATGTTAAAGTCATATTTGTTTCAATTGAAGATCCCCATAGTTTAGTTCCAAATAGATTACGCTATTCTTCAAATACAGTTTGTTTAATGAGTGTATGTACTGATATACATAACTTTCCTCTTTAATGCCTTACATTACCTCAGAGCTCAATTTGTGTGAATCGTTTTGTTCAAATTTGAATGAATCTTCTTATGAAATATGTATTAAATTTTTTCTTATTTGTTGGGGATGTTAGATCCTCATAAATCACTTGATAAATATCTTTGTTTTGGATTTATTTCATGGACCGATCAGTTGACCCTGAGATCACATTTCCCACCAGAAAAATCCTTGGCTGTGATTGGTTACTGTGTCATTTTAGTGTGCTATTTTGTGACTGTCCCAAGGACGTCTCTATAGAGTATAAATAAACGCAATTTGAGTGCTTGGATTCATTGTGTGCTGGCTGGGTGTTTGTAGAATACACTTTCTACGCTATATCAAGACTTCTCGCTGATATAATTTAGTCAAGGGATCACAGTAGCCTACCTGGACGCTGGTTCATTGTTTTGTTCTCGTTATTCGACTAAGGTGAACTCGTAATAGTTTAAGCATACTTAGAGACTAGCGTAACATTATTAGAATTAATATTAACATAGAAGAATACAAAATTATGATTAAAAGTAAATATCAACAACAACAAAATTCACCATCTACAACTTACTTCAAATGTATCAACATCTAAATTATTTTTACACGGCCTATGTGTAATCATCGCTGTTAATAGATCACGTCGATTGAATTGTTCTAATCCACCATATTTAGAATTATTACGTTTCACATCTAATAGATTACTTGTAGCTAGTTTACGATGAATTTCCGGTGATTTATATGTAGCTATATTATCATAACTCATTCTGTATAAATATATATAGAGAGAAACAAGAATAAAATAAATAATTAAATAGGAAAGTAATTTAATTAATGACAAAAGTAAATTTGATTTAAGGAATTATTTTCTTTTTTTATTAAAGATTAATATACACCTTTATTATATCTATAAGATTTCATATAAATTTTGTTTACGAAAATATTAAAGATTCCCATTGTGAACATTAGAACAACATATATTATAATAAGTGAACAATATTGTTGTTTTCGATTAGATCGTCATCAGGCTTTACTCTACAATGTACATGAATATTTTTATATGAAAATGTTAAACCAAATCAAGGCAATGTATAAGTCAATAATCACTATGATATGAAACAGAGATTACGTCACTACACACATAATAAGCAAAAGTACAAGTTGATAGTAGGAAGACAGGTGAGTACTGATAGCAGAAAGAAAAATCAAATACGATAAGAAAAGTTTTATCAGTAGTAGGTCAAACGTGGATAAATAGACTTAAAATTATCATTACAAAACATTAAAACCATTACGCAGTAGGAAGTGTGTATATAGTTGGATAGTGAAGAATATAACCGGAAAGAGGAAGAAAATTACTAACAAATACAGGATGTGATTACTGACTCAAATTGCCTTGATTAGTTAAACATTTTCGTATAAATATTCATGTATATTAGAGTAAATCCTGATGACGATCTAATCGAAAACAATATTGTTTGCTTATATGTGCTGTTCTAAATTTCGTTTATGCATTACGTGTTGATGACATTGTTTGACGTGTGTATTAGTATGTGTGGATTGACTTAATTAGTCTTTACATTATGAGTCCATCAATTTAATACTGTAAGATAATCACAATTAATCGTACAAAGACAAATAATAAAATTCTAATGACTTATTTAATCGTAATATGAACTTGTTTTACTGCACATCTATTCAAACGAGTATACTTTTGTGTAGGTGTATGCTCATCACTGTGTTCAAGGACATGATTTCAGAGGAATACGGTACCACAACAAACTACAACATTCTAAACAGAATAATTGATCATTGAATGAAATATCCAACAAAATCTGATCTCTTGATGTTGATAATGTATTTTTTATAATCAGGATATTTTAGAATTTTTTATTATATTTGGATAAAGGTATTATATGAGATGGTCATGTTAATATTTATAGCATACTTGACTCAAAAATGAGATTTAAATTGTATTCTAATGTTGTATAGTTGAATCTGTTTAAAATGTAGTAGAGATTTATTAATTCATTCTAATTATCTACAAAACTTGCTGGTTATTACCTCAAACTCCCTACCGACAAACCTGTTTTGGTACCTTTACCAAAAAAGTTCTTATCATGATTTTTCTTTACATAATATAAGTGGTTTATTATACAACATTAAATTATACAGAATTAGAAACTAATCCATTCATTGATGATCACAGTGTAATAAATTCTAATTGGCATTTTGGAGAAGTCTTGCATAGTTTAAGTTTAAGCATAAATTTCTTCAAATTTGACAAGTCCTTACAGACAGTGCTGTTTTACAAATTAACATTAATGAAAACAGATCACAATGAAGGTAACTGCCTGATTGCCTTTATATATTATTCTCTGTAATTATCTGTTAAGCTCGTAAATTGATATGCTTGAAACCATTACGAGTTCACCTTAGTCGGTAAACGAGATCTAAGACAAGTGATCCATTGACACGATAGGCTACTCTAATCCGAGAGTCCCAAGGCCCCACTAAGTAGAGGAAGAAGTCTTGACAAGACGTAGAAAGTATATTCAACAAGCACCCAGAAAATATGAGGTTCTCAAGCACACAAAACGAGTTTATTTATACATCACAGAAACGTCCTTGAGAGAGCCACAAAAATAGCCTACTAGAATAATGCATCAACCAGTAACAGTCAAGGATTTTCCGGTTGGGGAATGTAATCTCAAGTTCAGCTGATCACTACATGCGCTAGAACATAAAATCCAAAATTAGGACCTTAATCAAGTGAGTTCTGGGGAATGGTAGGATGAATTTTCCATGTTACATGGTTCCCAGTCAATGTTTTGAACTATTCGCTGATTTTTTTAAACTATTTTTTGACCTAATTAATTATTCATCATACATCAAGATTTGTCACTTGTTTTTGAATTTTATTTATTCATCTTTAACAGTCGTATTTTCTCTTGATAAAATGTTCCACATGATATTTCCTGTCACTGGTTTATATTTATATGACCGCTGATGATAATGCGTATGTAATCGATTCGAAAGCATGTGACCTATCAATAATTACGTCATCAAATCTGTCCCTCTTATCATTCTTGATCATTTAATCATTTCGTCATACTGATTCATCTCTTCCTTTTCGGTAAACTAGTACATTTGTTTCATTTGATTAATAGACTTTAACATTATTATTACATTATATTAATATCCGACTGAAAGACATGTGACTAATAAGTTTGAGATTTTCTGATAGGAGAATAATGTTCGGAATATTGTAGTTTGGAGAGATTTGATTAATGGCAAGTCTGGACGCTAACTAGATGTACCTTCACCTTAGTTGTGACATTCATACGAGCACTCACACCCAGAGTAATGTACGAAGACAAGACCATATGGAACATATGTATTCAGAGAAGACAAAGTTTACTTGCAAACTATGTAAACCTAGTCTTCAAACATCCATTTACAATACAAGTAGGTCCCTAACTGTCTTCTCTTGCATCTCTTCTAATCTTCAGTATAATCTGATTACGCCATACGTTTCAGTTACCAGACACTTCTCTATTAGCAACATCTAAGTAACGCTCCAATGCATACTACACATTTTCCACCTTGTGAGTAGCATCCACCATACCAGTACCTTTAGCTTCGAATCACCCCGAGTTTTTGATTGAGCTACAGAAACTAGTTAGCTAATGACTTGTTCAAACAGGTAGGAAGTTATCTGCACTCTGCTGACGAGTCTCAAAAGTGCGGAATCGTATATTCTGTATTTCACTGCTAACCTCAGTCTAGCACTACTAAGTTTTGTTTGCACTAAGTTTAGCTAGTAATTAACCAGTTAGTTTTTCGTTATGTCCATTAACTCTTGTACAAGAATAATTCATAACATAGAATAGATGAGAGAGTAATCGTTTTCAATGACTCCATAATCAGGTTCTGTAGCTATAAGTCCAAATTTATTGTGTTATTGTACAAAGAACAAAATGAGACGTGCAGTAATAAATTAGATAATGTGATATATTTGGAATCTTAAAGTTTTGCATCTGCAGCGACTTAAATACTTCAAGATTATTATTGAAAATTTGAAATGTCCTTTAATATTGATGAGAGTGAAGTTGAGAACCTTTGTAAGATGTAAAGTTACAATCAGTATAATACACATTTTTGAAAACATGAATCGATCAATGTTAGACCACCATTAGAAACCTGGAAGCACTGGATGGCCGTTTCGTCCTGGTATGGGACTCTTCAGCAGTGAGCATTCACGGCTCCTCACCCCGTAGGATTCGAACCCATGACCTTCAGTCTTGCGCGCGAACGCCCAACCTCTAGACCACTGAGCCGGGACCTAACGGTGTTAATGTTTAACTTGGTCAATTCACGGAGTTACTCAACCTCATACACAGTCTTCGGTAGTTCATGTCTACACCCGAACAGGTTGAAGTTCACTAGTCACGACTTCCCACTAGAACTAGGAGAAGATTCCTCACGAAGCTAGTCACTAGTGAGCACAGGCAATTTGCATTACGGGGTTGTGAAGATTGTTAAGTTACACATTTTTGAAACCATGAATCGATCAATGTTAGACCACCATTAGAAACCTGGAAGCACTGGATGGCCGTTTCGTCCTGGTATGGGACTCTTCAGCAGTATAATAGTAATACAGTAAGCTGTATGAAAAGGAATGCATAGTAGGAGAGTTCAACCTAGAGATAATAATATCGATGATAATAATAATATTAGCAATAATAATAATGCAAAATGATAATAATGATAACAGCATCATATAGACATAATGTGTAATAAGAGAGGTAATTATGATAAGAAATTTATGTGAATAGGGAAAGATGAATTTCTGGATTAAGAAAGCTATAAGGAATCGAGAGGAAGGATAAGAGGGTGATGATGACCATTTTAAGCATCTGGTGTTCCAGTCATCGACCAAGGTAAACATTGAGGCTGAATATACCTCTTTTTGACAGATAAGCTAGGTTTTCTCTAGGTGTTAAAAATGGTATCAGAAATGTGGATGAACCGTAATCTATCTTTACAGCTTACGTTTTACAAAATAACACTGGTCGTTCTAAGAACCCGAAAATTATGGTTGTTTACTATGACCTAATTATAAAGCCTTTATCTATCAAATATAATACTAAATATATCCTACGTCAGCCCAGTTGAGGATCTTAGCAGAATGATGTTGGATTACATCATATATTCTCACTGTGTTCCAGATGTTTTACGCTTTCTCCTAGTAGTAGACGGGTTGAAGCTAAATACTAAACAAAATTCAATTGATGAAAGTGATTTGTGGAAACTGTATGATTTTCATAGTTGAAAAATGCAACTACAACCAGTGGGATAGTAGTAGTGTGTGGATATATGTGTGTGTGTGATTATAATCGATTAAATTAACCATTTTAAATGTTACTATAATTAATAGATGTGATTGGAATTTATTTTTCCAATAATGCACTTTATTCTATTATATTTCATAGATTGTTAGATAAACACATCTACTAATGGATTTGTGATCAGTTTCTAGTATCATTTTTTTTCTGTCTTCTCTTTACTAAGTACTCATTGCCATAATAATAATAATAATCATCATCATCATAATATTGAACTGATTATTGATTTATACACGTGGTGTAAAATTCATTGATCATGATCATTAGACACATATTATTTATCCATGACTAGAATTAAATATAAATATAATTTCTTTTTAAAAAAAGACACTATTTGTACTTTATAAGTTTAATTCAAAGAATGATATCTAGTGAGAGTGTGTAGTGTATATTATACCTGATAATTTGCGTCAAACATTCTAGATATTCCGTTTTATATTTCTGACATTAAAAAAATCAACGATAATAATATGTGGTTTTTCATTGTTGTAATTCTATTCATTTTGGTAATATTTTGTGTTAGAATCATAGCGTTATTCAATATGGGCATCATATTGCTTACAGCGAGTTTTTAATGCATTTTATTTGAAATATGATAATTTTCATTGATATATATACGTATATATATGTTAAACAATGTATGAAAAGTGGTTATTTCACAAAATGAAATTTGACAGTTATTGTGTGAATATTACTTGTCTTAGCTATTAGTAGATTTTGAGAAAAATTGATTTTAGGTTCAATAGAATCATAGGCATATTTGAAGCATCGAGATAACTGCGTAATTGTTAGTATATGAAATCTGTTGGAACTTCTCAATACAATACAAACCTATAATGTCACTTAGGACTAAACATTCAGGCTTTTCGGAAATTGGGGCCCTTTTTTGAATCATCGATTTGCAATCCAATGAATTTACACTTTTAGCTTTATTTTTCCTTTATTCTCCTTTCGCTGAATCGATTTTTCACCAGTCCATATCCATGGCTGCATACAGTTGGTATGATACGCCTAGAACATTTGGGGCGGAAAATCCAATGGCACAGATTTCAAACTTATGTGAAGTTGTAAAACCACTTTATCTTCGTCTGAAATGATCGTCTTTTCACGATGAAAATTATCTTTTAATTATGCAAACTCCTTTACGAAACACGTTTTGTAACTAATAATTTAATATTCACTAGTGAATGTTTTTCAGATGAATTTCTAGAAGTGTCGATAGAGAGCCGTAACTACTAGAGACAATCAAACTGTGAGTGAGACGAGTAAAGTTGGTAGAAGATTAAAATGCAATGCAAACTGACTTGGGCTACGCATACAAAGCATTAGCTTCGGGGCAGAAGTCTAAGTGATTAATGCTCGCTAAGGAGTTCTAAGGTCAGTAGGCTCAATTCTATGTAGGATCATGAATGATCACGGATTAGGAGGTTATGAGTAAGATGCAACAACCATCTAGTTAGCTTTAATTTTGAACAGTTATTCAAATAGTTCAAAATTCGTACTTAGACTTTTAGATCAAAAGAGTTTGGCTAGGTGATTTTAAGTCAAAATCGATATATAATTAGATTAGTATTAACTTCAAATGACGTTTCTCACATGTCAGATCTGTTAGTTAACATGTGTCATAATTTTTTCATGTCATATTTTAACTGTTTTCATTATCAACATTATTATCATCACTGGAATAAATGCTGTATCTTTTCATTCTGGCAACTGTCAAATGATAATATTGCTACAAGTCAATTAACTTTTAATCGATTAATATTGATCAGTAATGGAGATGAGAAACATTCTTCAAAGAAATCTCGAAATGTGTTTTTACGATTTGTATAACGAAGTAGAATAATAAGATGTGGATAAGTGTTGATACTGATAACCAAAAATACATGAATTCTCATATATATATGTACATATATTGATTGTTAAGGTATTCACGAAATATCCTAAGAGAATTATTTGTATGTCTAATTCTGTTGGTCAATTCCAATTGGCCGTCTTAACTATCAGTGTCACATGCTTCAATGTTGTTTCCTGTTCGACCTAACTGTATAAATATGCATTGTCTGTAACGTTTTATGACCTGGATCCTTAGCCTTTTCTGGACTCGGACCTCGTAATTTCTGTATGCTTGTATAATACACGTTCTACTTCATATCAAGACTTCTTCCTCTACTTATTGAGGCCTTGGGACCCTCGGATTAGAGTAACCTATCGTGTCACTGGATCATTGTCTCACCCTCGTTTACTGACTAAGATGAACTCGCAATAGTTCAAGCATATCAAATGATGTGGTCACGTGCATGCGTAACATATATATATATATATATATATATATATATATATATATAGAGAGAGAGAGAGAGAGAGAGGCAGAGAGAGTTTTGTAATATATTTAAAACAATTAGTCCGTTTTATAAATTTTGATAGAACAATGAGAAGAACACTTACATCAGATCAATTACGTCTTCTCGCTGTTCTATCAAAATTTTGTATCATAGTCACTAACACAAACATTATTTTGCATTTTTGTATGATAAAACATTTGGAAACAAGGCATAAAGTTGTTTTTTTCTATTCAGCTGACAGAATATACATTTTTTTGGATATTGAACTATTAAATATATGTATATATATCATACGATACTCCTAAAATATGCTGGTTATACAGAATAAATACACTTAATTATCATACCTATTATGATTATTATTTGTTTTATCATACATATACTTTTTTTCACTTATTATTATAGTGTATATTGTTCTTATATATTTTGATATGTTATAAGCAATGGTCCTTTTATAGATTAGATAATAATATAGGATAAATAGAAAGAGATTATCGCTGACATATGTCGATTGACGAGTAGGGTTTTAATTTTTAAAATAAAAATTTCTTCTGTTTTGTGGACATAATTTGTTAATGATTAAAAGTGTGATGTTCATGTGTACAATATAATATAAAGAGATTATTAGTTTAGAAATAAGAAACTAACCTTGTAGAATATAAAGAATTTTTGATCTTTTGATTTGTTATACTTGATGATAATTCAGAAACTAATGATTTTAATGCACGAACTTCTGATTGAAGTATCTACGATGAAAATATTATGTTTTTAAAAGAAAGAAAAAAATAACACATTTATGTCATGTGCAAATATGAAGTGATTTTTTTTTTCAATAAAAATGAACCATGTGTATCATACTGAAGTTTTGCTTTATAGTGTAAACAACATTACATTACCACCAAGCTTGTACTCAAGCAGATGCTGATATTGGTTTGATAGTAATATGATTACAAGTTTTGTAAATAATTTTTGACATTCATCAAAGTTTCGATAGTATAGTTATCAACAAGCATACATTTTGTCAGAAGTTCGACTTTAGTTTTTAAGTTCAAGTTCATACATGATTTGCATTCATGATCAAATGACCTAACTGCTTTTTATGCAAAATGTTTGCTAAACGATTTGAGAGTATCATTACAAACGTTGTCATTTTGTTTTAAAGCTCAATAGGATTGGGCGATGAAAGAGATGATATGTTTGAAACTAGTCTGTTTGACCACAAAAACAAACTAGAATGAAACTATATACATCATTAAAACAAAATACTATTCCTGAACTAAAACGAATTCAAGTACTACTAATTTGTATTCAGTTTATAATCTAATTAACTTATTTCATTTATCAAAAATACATCATCAACCTCAGATTTCATTCAAATCTATCAATTAACTGATCATTTTGTCTCATCTATAATAATCTATGCACTTCGCTCAATATTCAACATTGCTAACAGTTAAAAACTGTAAAATTATAAACAATTCTATTATAAAGAATCAGTTCTTAGTGACATTTTGATTGTAAGACGCAGATTGAAAGAATCCATTTGATCGGCAATTATTGATAATTGTAGTTCGGTAATAACAAGTAATTTTATACCAGTTTGAGCGAATAAGATACTTCCTATTCAACTGAACAAAACCAGGTTCCTTGGTGCTAAAATTTGCAGCACAATGATTAAGTATTAACTTTATTATGAAGCTATGATTCAGTGATTTAAAATGTTTTCAAGTCGTACAGGTGAATGACGACACTTTTTGTATCTTCAAGGGTAGATATAGTTCACTAAGTACTAATGACTAAATTGTATTTTACTATTTTCTTTTCTCTGACTAGTCAGTTTAATTAAATTGTATCCAAACCAAACTGTATAAAGAATAAGATTACCTCATTTTCTTGAATTTTCTCTTTCGCTTGTCTAACAGCATATTGTTCTTTAGACATAGCCTCATAGACCTGTCAATAAATAGAAAACATAAATAATTATAGAGAATTGATAGAATTTGATTAGTAATGAAATTCAAGAGGAGCATTTCGTCCTATTTGGGACTCATCAGCCGAATAATAAATAATTAGTTAAGCATCCGTGAAAGGACGAGTCAGTAATGCCATTCAAATTAAAAGAGAATATTTTTACTATTACTTTCTTAATGCCACCCACAGTGATTTTTAAGAAGTAAACAAGTAACGTCCACAAGTGTAGAATTAATTTATTTGCCACTCCATCGACCATAGCTTCTCAGGTTAAAAAACTAGTTGTCTGAACTTGTCATCTGTTTATTACTAGTAATTTTCCTATTATAATCTAACCAAGTATCAGTTATACTGTATGTTAAGAAGGTATGAGAAGACGAAAATAGGATATTTGGTAAGTTAATCTCTCATCCATCACTTCTCAAATGTTTAGTGGATTTCTAACAAATCAGTTAGTTTATGAAGCTATTATATAGCAAGTTTTATTCTGTAATGTTTGTTATGCTTTGCTCGTATAGTATTCACATGAATTATCATTCAGTATAGAGAAGATACTTGAGATAACCTAGCTGGCATTCTAATTTTCTCATTGACCATTTCGGTATGTGAGAAATAGCGTAGGCTATCGATTGAGTGACAAATATAGTAGTGACGTCAGTAAACTGATTGTCAGTGGCTTAGGCGGGAAGCTATAACACTACTAATAACTTTAATCCTAACGTCATCGAGCATCGTATCTTATGATTTATAAGGTATGATATTATTAAATGTAACTCCATTTCGTCACATTTCGTTTATCTTCAGAATAAGTTCGAAAAATCCGAATCACTTTAGCCCTCCTTTGATGTTTTGTCATGTGATTCCGAAGCAACTTGAATTTGCTTTTTACATAAGATATTGGTATAAAAGTCTTTCTATTAAAAAAACACACTTTAGTTACCTTTATTGCTTCTATTACGCAAGAATACTTAGTTAATTTTCATTATTTTAAATCATTTTTTCTGAAACTTTTATACTTACATAATTAGTCTTTCAACACTATTAGCTATATGCTCATTATGGTTCAAAGTTGAGATGTAAGCGAAAAATTCAAGTCTGTTCATTTTATCATTGATATGATACGTCACTATGTATTGATAATTGGAACTACTTATTTTCAGTGATTTATAATCATTAATGTTAATGTTATGAATCATTTTGATTAATTTTCCATGCATAAAAATTGTAATAATAATTATAATGGTTTTTGGAATAAAGTGACGTGCTTGTGTGTGCGTGTATATGGAATTGACTTTGTCTAATAATTCATAGAATGAATCTGTCAATGTAGTTAAGTGTGTTAACGAGAATAAAATGTGTCAAGTTCAAATTGACAATTATCAAACAGTTTTCAATGTGGAATATTGATATCTGCTAAAACTTTTATTTGACTGAAACATTTTATTATTGAAGTGACATTATGCATTACCGGAGGTGATGACTACTTCATGCTGTAGCACCTGCTAGCAAATCAGTTCGCTAGTCTGAGTCAAAGAATGTGGATCATTTTTTAATTCTAAAACATTTAGATAGATAGTATTCATGAAAAATTAGTAAATTTGTTTGTATACATCGAAGTAATATTTATCAAATATTTCCTTTATTATATTACTAGAAAGTTCTTTTTTATGTATCTCAGTCCTAGCCGAAATGTATGGAGCTATTTTCTTCTAAATGACCAGAATGCAAAAAATATCTCTTTTGAAGGTAGACTTTTCTGTTAAGATTACTTTCCATGATTTTTGCTTATTCCGAAGCGATCTAGATGGTATCTTCTCATTTCTGAAGCTACTTAAAAAAAGCTTCGGTATCCCACATTGTTTAGGCATTCCATGTTACTGTATTTATTGTTTCTCTATCTGAAGGCTCATTGGCCTAATCGCCAATAGAAACTCGTAGCTTTCATCATAAGACATCATAACTCTTCTATATGCAAACCTTCCAACCACCACAGCATGTGTTATTCGTTTTCTTTACTCAACATTTCTGTAGAGAGGTTTTTATTTACGAGGTAAAATAGCTAACTTTAATTTGGACCCTTCTCTTTTACCTGGGATTGAGACAAGCAGAAGCTATGGAGGGGTTACATTATATATTCATTATACTTTTACTGATGATCGGTGTGATTCAAATAGGGATAAATCAGTTACTCAGTTTTCTGACAAAAATATCTTCTTTACTTGCCTATTGATATTTATAAACTCTTGTGGTTATGTGATCTTGTATTTCATTTGATTAATTCGGCTAACTGATCACCGTAATACGTATTAGGAGTATTAGTAATTGATTGGTTGTATGAAATGAATTCGATGGACTTATTCGCAGTGACGTAAAAAACGTAACGGAAGCCATCTCAATGTTTATAAGGAAGTTTGTGAACATTTATTGTATGATGGTGTTTGACAGTACATAACTGTCAGAAATGCATTCAATATACTGGGGTTCGAAAATTGGACCTCCCAAGCACAAACTGTGTGCTCTAAATGATGAATTACAGATATTCATACTGTTGCATGATTTGAAGTGACTACAAACACGTACAAACATAAACATCAATTGTAAGATCCATTTTTTGAAGGCTTTGTTTGTGAAAATCCCTCCATGTATACATTTGTAATTTGTTCTTATTGATTCCTTCAGTTGTACATTTTTTATTGGTCTGTTCGATCCCATTTGAGATGACAATATTTGTATTTTATTTTATTTGCTATTTCCTTTGCCTTCACTGAGTTTCCATGTTTCTTTCTGGACTGCATTTATATTGTTTAAGCTGATGCTTAGTCATGGAGACAGACATATTGATTTGTTCCTCTTTTGATTGTGTCTCTTGCATTGACTAGAATTGTGCATTTTGACTGTGAATTGAAGCACCCTTCCAAAATAGGAAGCACTCTTTCGAACGAATCTGATCGATCCACGAGGGATGGAATAACATTTATTTGTGCTGTTGATTTGATTAATTGAATAATTGTTGAAGGAATAACGAAGTGGTAATATTTGTTTAAGTAATGATGTATATTTATATTTATGGTGAATATTAGAACCGTTATTTACCCAAATCACTTGTTCAGGTTTCAACTAGGCAAGACGCGTATCTAAACTACCCAGACAGTTATTCCTCAGTCCAAACCTCAATATGGATCCTACATCAATTTAGAAAATGTTTCTGGAATCAAATGAAAACGTAATCATTTAAGTCCTATTGTGAACATTAAACGATGACCTCTAAAGCATTAGCTAACTGTTTCATTTCATTATAGGGCTCTTCAGAAACTCACATACACAACTGCACCATCAGTAATTGAACCCTGGGCCTTCGATTCTGCGCGCGAACGCTTATTCTTTAGACCGATAAACCGGCATTCATTGGTTTACAAGTCTAAATTTAAGCAACTCATAATATCGTGCAATTATTGTTATTTACTTGAGTAATTTAAGTTAAATTGTATTAAAAATGAGTACTTTTAGTTTATAGTAAGAATCGATTTCAAATTTATTCGTGTCATTTCTTAAGTAAGCAAATATGCACTCTCACTTATTACTAATCATATTGAAGTTAAGGGCAAAGTTCTTTGGGATAAAGAATTTTCGATCAAGCGATGATCGCTAACTTAATAAAAATAACCACATCAAACAATAATACCGTTTCTATTTCAATAAGATGACAATAACAGAAAAACATTACAATTTATGATCAATTTTTATTTCTCACTTACCATTTTATTTGCTTCTTCAAATAAAGTAGCATTGAGTTCCATGCATTCACTATTCATACGTTCAATGTGAGACTTTAAACTGACATTCTCTTCTAAAGCTAGTTTAATTTTTTCTTCTAAACTAATCATATCACTACAATTCTAAAAAAATGAAAAATACTAATTGTAAAATAATGAATATTTATTTAAAATGAAAAGAATGTTTTTGATAAAATTAAATTGAAATTTTATAGATTTGTTTTTTTAATGTCGTTGAAGTTAGTTACAAATTGGAAAACTTTCAAGGGCGTATGTCTAAATTGTTGGTAATAACGTAAATGATATATACAAAAATACAAACTACTAGTTACTTTATCTATATTGAGTTATTAAAACAAAACAGTAAAATGAAAACCGTATAAAACATTCAATTTCATTAGTGGTTGTCTAGTAGTTTGGCATTCATTAGCAGACCTTAAGAACAATGGTATCAACACTAAACTTTTAACCGCTGAACCCCTTGCTCGAGGTTTTTGTTGTATTTACTCCACTTTTAAATATCATGTTGTTATTGCCTAACGCTAGGAAAAAGTACTGCTCTTAGCCTAGAATGTAAACCTTTATATCCCTAATAAGTTGGAATTACTAATTGTTCTCATTTCCATTTTGGTCAGTACTTCTTTACAGGTTGAAATCATCAATTAGTCATCGTTAGACAACCATTAGAAACCTGGGAGCACTGGATGGCCGTTCCGTCCTAGTATAGGAATCATCAACAGCGCACATTCACGACTCCTGTACTTCACAGTATTCAAACCCAGGATCTTCAGTCTTGAGCAAGATCAGCTAACATCTGGACCACCAAGTCGGCGGCATCAAACTTTTAATATCTAACTCTGATCAATCTAAGGATTTTGGGCAACCTCATCTATTGTCTACCGTAGTTACTGCCTACACCTAACTGGGTTGGACTCCACTAGTCATAGCTTCTTAACGTGTAGAAACACTGATCTCTATAACTCTAATTGAAGAAAAAAACAGTATTTCTTTCTTTAATTTGTACAGAACAATCAAACTGAAGTGTTACAATGTTACTTCATCAATGAAAACAAATTTTTTCCTAAAATTTTATATCTCCAGTTTTAATAGTATATTTAATTACTGATTAGATAATATTTCTCTGTTGAAAAAATCAATTTTACTAGTAACTCGTAATAGTCAATCCAGTAAATCCTAAGTAAATTTTATGCAGTAAATCTAAGCGAACAATTAAGTTCATTTATTTACCTTTGTTAACAGTTCAATGTTTGTGCTTTATTTTTTTTAAGGTCAATAGATGTAAATCAATGAGCATTTGATTGTTGTGATAAAGAGTTAACAAGAAAATATATACAGAAGTCGATTTATTTATATTTTTGAAACCATGAATCGATCAATGTTAGACCACCATTAGAAACCTGGAAGCACTGGACAGCCGTTTCGTCCTGGTATGGGACTCCTCAGCAGCGCGCACCCACGACTCCTGAACCCCGCAGGATCCGAACCCAGGACCTTCGGTATTGTGCGCGAACGCCCTAACCGCTAGACTACTGAGCCGGTATCTAACGGAGTCCCATACCAGGACGAAACGGCCGTCCAGTGCTTCCAGGTTTCTAATGGTGGTCTAACATTGATCGATTCATGGTTTCAAAAAATGTGTAACTTAACAATCTTCACAACCCCGTAATGCAGATTTATTTATAAACACTTTATGAATTCAAAAACAATTAACAATCGCTGTTCATTTAGACATTTAATTTTATTCAATGACATTAAATATTTGTATTAAAAAAACCAATTGATTTTTATGATGCTCCTTTATAAGATGATACATATGTTGTAAATAAAACAAATGTAATGTTTATTTCAAGCATTCTCAATAAGAAAATGATTTTTTAAAAATCAAATTGCTTGTTTTATGAATATCAAGTTGTTAGAAAAAAAAGCAACTCAAATTTACAACAAATATCCAAGATAGAAATAATTTTCGGGCAGAGTTTTGGAGGTTTTATGTTTTTACACATTTGAAATCATCAAACACCGTTGGATGCCGGCTCAGTGGTGCGATGGGTAGGCGTTCGCGTGCAATACCGAAGGTCCCTGGTTCGAATCCTACGAGGTGCAACAGTCGTGGATGCGCACTGCCACTGATGAGTCCGTCCAGTGCTTCCAGGTTTCTAATGGTTGTCTAACAATGATTGATTGATGATTTCAAATGTGTATAGACACATAAGTTTGAAAAATTTCTGTATTCAACTGTACGGTGAATGACAATTTCTATCAGTTTAACAACTTTACAAATCATCCAATTAATTAATAATGCTTGATTGCTAATAATAGATATTTCAATGATATTTACATTTAGATTAACTAGTATTACCTTGAACTATGTCACAAAAAGATGGTGTATTACAAAAAAATATATTTACGCCGAGTTAATGAGTCATATCATTTATTATTACTGATTATTATTATTACTATTGCTAGAATGAAAAAGTTCAGAGTTAAATTAAGTATATTCCTTAAAATTGTACACGGAGTAAGAACATTTATTTACTATTTATTAACTCTAATCTAAATTTAGCATAAAATATAAATTATTTACTGGACAGATAAACAAACGTCGTCAACAATGAACTTGACACAGATTCTCATTGACCAAAGTTGACATACGAGACTAGCACGATGAGATGAAAATAATAAAAGAAATTGAAATAATGTAGTAGAAATAAGAAAAAGAATGATCATATCCTGAGGATATGGTTAAAAAAGACAGAATGGAAAATTGTGCGCAAAGGGATATTAGGACTGAAGATCGGGAGGAAGATAAAAACTAAATGCATTTGGGCTAATGAAAATGATTATGAGTCATGTCATCGAAAATCTCCATCCACTCACTGCTACTGGCACGTGGGACCCAACAAGGTATTTCGTATTAACCCACACAACAAAGCACAACAGACAGTGACCTCATAGACTGGTGCAATGTTTTCATTTGGTCACCCCTAGCTTTCTAATAACTTGATTCAGAACTAACAGGAATCGCTCGTTTAGGTAGGTGGTAGTTAGGCATATATAAAATTTCTCAGAAAACTCAACTGATACACTTTCACTATTTAATCAATTGATAGTCCATCTTTTACCAGTACCCTTCTCCTAATCTTAACATTGCCAACTCAGTTAACTCATGAAGCTCGAGCAGTGCTTTAAAGGCATATGTAATGAAAAAGTTTTTAGTCGGTACGTGTGTTCTACTTTTACAGACTATGTTACTCACTCTCAAAGTAGAATCGAGTGGATTGCTATACAGTATGCACTCTCTTTGGCAGGTAAACGGGTACCTCGCCAACACTAAGTTTCATGTCGGTTGTCAAAAGCCAACGAGACTTTCTAAACCCGTATCAAGACTTCATCACACATTAAATTATAAGGGCTGGCCAAACTTTCAAGATAGGTGAAGGGGTCAACATACTCAACTAATTACCTTCCAATCGTTAGTTCTGATGTTGACTCAGATCAGTCCTTAGGTAACACTTTTCATTTAGACGGAAAGAAGCATTTTTCAGACATATTAGTACTTTTGCTCAAGACCATCAAACAATTCTGTATTTTGTAAGCGTCTTCATTAAACAGGACAAAATTATCTGTGTATTCCAACTGAACTAGTGAATCTTTTGGTATGAGCTCTGAAAAGTTAGCTGAAGGAATCAATGATAAAATCAAATAAAGGTGAGGATATTGCGTTAGACTAACGAAGCTATTAGAAACTATATTTATCAGGCTGATTCTTATGTGACTAATAAAACTGGAGTTTCATCTTTTTTAAGTAGAACGATCAGTCATGGAGGTTATTCGGATGAGATTACGTCCATTTCACTGTATCTACCTCATATCTAGGTTAACTTATACGCTAAAATCTGGATAACCATCCTTAAAGGTCTCAGAAGTTAAGCTACCATAGCCTGGTGTTCTTTCATGTTTTAGATTACCCATAAGCATTGTAATATAATTAAGAGTTAGGAAAGTTGTGTCAATCGGCTACTCAAGTTGATTAGAGAAAAATTGTAAATGAAGAATTGCTGGAAGCCATTTGAATTGTACCTTAAAGTTTTTTGTATATCTGTTTAGTCTTTTAGATTGACAGTGGATAAAAGTTCCGTTCTTTTTAAAGATAGTCTCACTAACACATCTCTTTTCAAAACTCGTTTCCACGATTGACCATTAGAGTTGTTTAGTGTTTGTAAAATTAATGGGTATATTTTTAATATTGACAAAATCATGAATCAGTCGTTGTTAGGCTACCATTAGATACCTAGAAGCACTGGACGGCCGTTTCGTCCTATTATGGGGCTCTTCAGCAGTGTGAATCCACGATCCTGATCTCGGGAATCGAACTTGGGACTTTGGTCCCGATCGAGAACGCTTAACCTCTAGACCACCGGGCTGTGAAAAGTGGAGTTCAACCCTGTCGAGTGGAGGCATTATCTACCGAAGACAATGGGTGAGGTTATGGAAAATCCTTACATAGATCAAAGTTAGCCATTAACGCCGTTGGATGGCGGCTTACTGGTCCAGAGATTAGGTGTTCGCATGCGAGACCAAAAGTCCCGAGTTCGATTCCTGCGAGACGCAGGATTTGTGGTTGCGCATTGCCGAAGATTCCCATACTAGGACGAAACGGCCACCCAGTGCTTCCAGGTTTCTAATGGTTGTCTAACAATGACTGATTCATGATTTCAGTGGAAACACAACAATCTTCATAACACTTTAAATAACACTAATGAGTTAGAAAATAAAATATCCAGTATTGAATTACTCATACATTTTTATTACGTTCGTAAATGCTGTCACATGATATCGTATGATTTATTGACATCATGAAGCGTAATCAAAAAAGACTGACAGATAAATGTGAACGTAATAAAATTACGCAGTGCTTACTGATGAATTTCTGATCAAGAGGTAAGCCGGCAAATTACTGAAAACATTTTTTAAATTACACATACTCTAGGAATCTAATGTAGTCGAGTTAAAAATAGTCCAGAGTAAACTTAAGTCATCATCCTATATTATAGCACAGAAATTTATAACTATTTACTAACTTCTGGCTGTGGATCTCTTTA